AAGAGTACACCTGTCCAGGCCATGAGCAGACAGTTTCTCCAGGAGAATGCTGTGGGAAACGGTGTCAAAAGCTTTGCTAAAATCCAAGTAGATAACATCCACAGCTTTTCCCTCATCCACTAAGCAGGTCACCTTGTCATAGAAGGAGATCAGGTTTGTCAGGCATGACCTGCCTTCACAGACCCATGCTGACTGGGCTGATCACCCCGTTCTCCTGCATGTGCCGTGTAACGGCACTGAGGACGATCTGTTCCATGACCTTCCCAGGGACTAATGTCAGACTGACAGGCCTATAGTTCCCTGGATCCTCCTTCCGGCCCTTCTTGTGGATGGGGGTCACATTTGCCAACCTCCAGTCAGCTGGGACCTCCCTGGTTAGCCAGGACTGCTCATAAATGATGCAAAGTGGCTCGGTGAGCACTTCCGCCAGCTCCATCAGTACCCTTGGGTGGATCCCATCTGGCCCCATAGATTTGTGTACCTTACACTAGAGGTGTGAATCACTAGAATCACTAGAACTTAGAACTCCCAGCCCCATAGATTTGTGTACCTCACACTAGAGGTTTGAATCACTAGAACTTAGAACTAGCAAGATACCATACTGTGATAAAAGTGGAACATTCAAATGCAATACTAAATGAAGTTGAATCATGTATACATGGACATATAGCATAGTGCAGCTGAAAAAAAGGTCATCGTGCTTAGTTATCACTTTGTTCTGTTATATATTGTTTTCACTTGCTGATTTTTGCTCAAACAGCTACCAACGTACAACGTAGACTGATCTGTTTCATTTGCTGGATGTTTGGAAAAGTAAACTTTATTTCCAATACTTCGCAATTCAGCTCTTACAACTCAAAAGCAAATGATGAATCCACAGAAAGAATCCTGGCTCGTCTGAACTTGCTGCTCTTTCACATTACTGTTAAAATTGGGTAGTCCAGGATCCAACATTCTGTCAAAGTTGTCCAGTCTGTGGTTTCTCTCTGGTCGGTTATGTGCAGGGTTTATGTTTGTTTCAATTTAGTCAGATAGGTTAAAAATTATTAGGAAAAAATGTAGCAAATGGTTTTAGCAGGCTAAATGCTTACCATTTAATACCAGAGTGACTCTTGAAGAATGTACTTGCACGCTTTGTATTGCAAAATGTGAAAACTGTTCTATATCTACGAGTGTCTCACCTTCCTCTCTCATGTTAGTCTATGAGTGAGTTAAATATCGGTCTGCAGTCCTTAAAATAAATGTATTATCCTTTGATTTAAAAGACTATTAAGCAATTAAATAGCAGCTACAATGCTGTTTGGGTTCAAACAGTAATTACTCAGAAACATAGTATTTCTGTACTCTGATAACTACTCTAGAATCATGCTGTTGGGTTGCTCTCAAAGCTAAAATATGGTGACCGCTTGTTTATAAACAAAACGTTAGAGAACAGGCTTCTCACCTCCTTGAGGTCTTTCTACTGTTTTATTCATCTTAATTCTGGAGACCTTCACTGCATTAGAACGCCAGTTAGTAGCAAAAGTGAATGTGCTGCATAAACACCACCCTTTGGTACCTTAAAGAGGTGGAACATCACTAGAAATTGACAGCAAGGTTACTCAATAAGTCTCTAAAATATTCACTAGCTTAACCACGGCATTACAGAATAATAATCCTGGCAATTTTCAAGCTCTGTTCCATTGTGCTTGAAGACCTTTAATCAGGCTGAAGGTGAAGAATTTGCATGACATAACAGGTCCTTATAATTGCAGTAGTTTTTCATTCCTCCAATACTTTTGTTCAGGTTTAGTCATTCCTTTAAGCTCATGAGAATACATTCTAGAATTCTTAATGTTATTCTGTCAACTTTTTATCATAATTCCCAAAGCCTGCATGGGATGCTTTATTATATTTAGCAATCTTCTCCAAACGCTGTCAAATGACAGCAGGTAATCAATGGTTGGGCAATCATAATTCCATGGTGATTAGCAAAGTTCATTCATAATTCATAGCCAGTAGCCCTAGCACATTGTATCAAACCATCTTCACGGTTAAAGCAACAGCTTTGAAAAATTTTCAGCGTGCATCTTTTCAAAATTTTCTGTATTAACAGAGCTCTGCTGTCAGTCGCTGTGTTGTACATGGCAATTCTTACTCTGGTGACGAATACCAGACTGCCCACTATGCTTCCATTCACCTCTTTGGTTCCTTACTACCAGCACAGTGCTCTCCTGAAATGCAACAGCTCTTCCATCAATGTAATATATTTATTCAATCTAATCCGGAGAGTTCAGAAAAATCAAGGCAAAGAGCAGCCTTTTTTTGCCCAGTGAAGTCAATATGTTTCTCTTGCCCAAAATTTCATGCTGATCATAAGCATAAAGGTGTACTTCACCATGGTAAATCAGACTCGATGCGCAGGGAGCAGTGAGCTAAGCTGTTAGAATACAGCAATATTATTCAACACTTTCTAGTGTGTATCTGTGAGGTTTATTCAAATTAATTACAACAAGAATAATACCAGTACTTTCATACTCTAGTTTAGATGATATAGGTAGTAGTTATAGATTTACTGCAGTGTCACTTTACACTGCTGTGGTTAAACATTACTATGAATGCACAAATAAATATAACAAAGCCCAACCATACAGAGCTCTCATGATTCATCCTGGAGTGAGGGTTTCAACTCGCCACACATCTGATGTAGACACTGACAGCTCCACGACTCACCCTAGGCTGCCGTTATAGCCAATGAGGAAAAACAGACACTTTGAGGCTACAATTCATCTGACCTATTTTAGATGAGATGAATCATACTCTGGGAGTGCCTGTTCCCTTTGTTGACTATAAAGGGAGACTAGATGATTAGCTCCAATGTAAATGCCTGCATTCTACATATTAGACATCTACATCAGCACGATGAAAACCACTCTTATTGTCCAGATATATAGTCAATGACTCATGCAAATTTATCTCCATGTGGTCCAGCAGACACCCGACTTCTGAACAGTTACATTCAACAAGAACAGTGGCGTTAGCAGGCAGGCCAATGCATTTTTCAGTTAAAGCTTTCAAAAATGCCTTAACCAGTGATTTTATGGATGTTTTTCTTCTTAATGAATGAGAAAAATCCACCATGAAATACGATTGAGTGTATCTCTGTCTGCCTCATTTTGCCTGATGTGAGACAACTGCCCCCAGTTGCATTAGTGGCATATCCCCATGGGTTTCTACATACATTTCCCCATTGCCTTGGGCCAGCTCATTTTCTTTGGCTACTCACTGAACTGAGTTTTGCTCTATATATTTCTACATGTTTGACCTGCACCCAGGTTCTGTCTGGTTCTAGCTGCTCAGGCATACCATGGGCATCCAAGTTCTCTGCTTCACTCCGTTTCTCAGACACAGCCTGTGACCCAGCTGTTGCACATCCCAAGGCAGTGTTATGAGTTTTCCCCAGCAGCTTTGGCAGGAACACCTGAATATGACAGCAAAGGTCTGAGACATTTTGCAAAATTACTTACGGAAAGGACACAGTTTATTTGCAGGGAAAGCAGTGCCACCTGTGATCCAAATACAGACAGCGAAGTGCACAGAGACCCCTCCATCCAGCATCCTCTACACCACAAAAGCCCTTCAGGGCCCTCTTCAGCAATTTCAGTTACTTATGCTGTTTCAGACATTCTGCCTGAAATACTGAAATACTGCCGTTTCAGGCATACTGCTCCTGAATACTCTGCTTAGCTTGTTCGAATGTAACATTCAAAAAGTTCCCTTCAATGAAAAAATACGCTCCTCTGTGTTCTCTGAACCTCACAATGTCTACAATGTCTGAATAATCTTCCCCCCCTTCCCACTCTCCTAAGTTTTAACCAGTGATTTCTGTTCTTCTCCTCAGCTAAGGATTTTCATAGCTTTAACCTACCATGAAGGGCCACTGGGTGAACTGGATTTGCTTTACTTTGGTCAATCTTCTTAGCATATTCATTACTCTACCCAGATAGAGCCAGTCCTCGATTTTTTTCCTTGAAGCCTTACATAACTGATTTAAGTCATGGGAGCATCTTTGTCAGCAATTTTCAGATTTTGTTCGCTTTGTGTGTGTGTATATGTGAGAGAGAGAGAATTCCTAAAACTACTAAGAGTTCATCAGATACTTAGAGAAAGTGGCTTAGTACTCTCACAGTTCCATTGTTGCTTTTGAAAGGAATAACAATAAATCACAAAACAGTAAAGACTGAATTAATGGGTAATTCAGGATTATTTCAATATGATGAGTTTCATTGGCTTAATTCGAGTCCTGAAGAGCAATAATGCAATTCAGAATTTTTAGAGAAGGGCATTTAAAATTCACCTTAAAACCTAATCATTTTTAAACACTGATAAAATTTTTATTCTTCCAAATCATTAGTTTCATTGCAATGTCTAAAGCCAGGATGAGGAGGTGCATAAGTATGAGTTTGAAAATTTTCACCAGAGTATTTTGCCATCTGTGAGAAACCAAAAAATTACAGATACACCAAGCGTTTATATTTGACAGCACCCACTGCTTTTGTATAGAAGGCTTTGTTCAATACATAGCATCAGTGTGAAAACAAGTTACCAAATTACCCTTTAAGAGGAAAGATTAAAAAATAAAGCTGAAAATGCAACAAATAGAAGAGCATTGAAAACTATAATACTTCCTAACACAGTACTTAAAACAGAATGTCATGAATTTTCCCCTGCATCAGCTGTAGAGAAAAGGGAAGGAAAGTTAAAATTCCCTTTTTTTCCTTTGTATATAGTTTTGACTTTACATTGCTTAATCATACCTGCTTTTTGTGATCACAAATATAATTTAGAGCTAGCTACTCACTGCTGAATTGAACAGATGAGACATGATTCTGGTCTTTTTTTTGACTAGGGATTGTTGACTACAAATATGATACAAAAAGACAACAGTTTCTTTTGTATTCAAATAAATATGTACTCTACATAATTAATATATTTTATATATTCATTCCTTAAATAATAATAAAAAAGATTCCTTGTTTCTTGCAGGAGGCGGGATATTTTGTAGTTTCAGACTTTGTGTTTTTTATTTTAATTCTCAGTCTTTTATTAAGTACTTTTTTTTAAAGAGAGATCTCAGGTGTTAAAGGCAGTTATTTGCCTACACAGGACAGGCAAAATGGTGTTCTGTCTGATTTCCTGAAACTATGAAATGACAAAAGGAAAATCCTTTGAAGCAAAGCTATAACTCCCTGAGAAATTCAGTATGGTGACTAGACTGGCCTTGATGAATTAAGTAATTTTCACAAGTTGAACTACGTGAAAGGAAGGGAGCTGTCTACTGCCTCCTATAGTCATAGATAATTTGTAAAGAGATGCCTTGATAACTCTCCACCAGCCTCATCTGTCTCCTGATCACATCACTTGATCTTGTAGGATCAGTTCCGCCTCAGCAGACAGCGCTCACCATGCTGGAGTGAAGCTGCTTTAAACACGAGACAAAAGCACACTGGACACTTTACTGAAACTGCACACGTAAACACTTTAGAGGTTCTGATCCCAGATTAAAAGAAAACAAGGCTAGTACATTAACGTACCCCAAGGACCCTACTTAACAGAATAGTTGCTTTGTGTTCTAAACCACAAGCACACAGAGAAAAACATTAAAATCAGTGAAGGAATTAAAAATTTTACTAAAATAGAGAAGCAGAACACAGAAATAGCTACAATGAATAACCTCCCCTGAACAAAGAAAAACAGGATGAAAAACAGCACACTTTTCTTGTAGCTGAAATGCATTCTCTAGCTCCCCTACCTAAGCAAAAGCAAGTATTTATGCGTCCTATGTGCACATCACAAAACAAAAGCATTGGCCATATGGGCAACCTCATGCCTTTCCCACACTGATACTTTCAGCGTGTGTTTTTCGTTTGCATCAGAGAGATTTTTGTTGGCAGGGAAGAAGACGGGAAGAGGGAAAAAAAGGCCCCAACAGGTGTCTCACAAAGGGAGGTAAGGTTAACTTTGGGATGCTTATTCTCCTTCACAACAGGCACCGTGTTTGAGCCAAAGCAATAACTCTCACTTTCTTCTCTGCTCGTATGTCATTACTAGAATCTCCTGCTGCCTCTCCTCAGTTCTTATCTCTCCAGTTAATCTTAGTCTTAATCTTTTTCTGTTATTACCAGAAAGATGAGAAAGATGGCTGCGGGCTACTGGCAATTGTACATAGTGACAATACAAATTGTCACTTGAGGTCTAGCAGCACGATTTTATCTTCTGTTTTTCTAGGTGGTTTGAAACTCCAGTGAGACATCTGTCAAAAGATGGCATTTCTGCAATACAATGGATGCAACGCAGTCGTTACATACACATAACTAACACAACTTTTATCTGTAGGGTCAGGTAACAAGAAGAGAGTTAATATTATCTCTTCAATTTTAGTGGATTTAAGGATATTGCTTTTTGCAGATTGAATCCCTCTGGTAGCTGGCTACATACTAGTCATTTCTCAGGAAGGGAAAAAACCCTGTTCTTTGCAAGTGTGTATGTGAAAAGCTGCAACAGCAGAAGAAAGCAATATAAATAAAATCATTTGTTAATAAATCCCTCCAAAACTAGGTGGTACAGATATACTGCTGGCTATTTTTAACTTTCAACTTTGAAACAAACATGACCTTAGAAGAAAGCTATGACTATCCTGAATTGCTGCTGCAAGTTACAAACAAAACTTTGAAACAGGAAAACCCTGTGAGAAACAGAGAGCTCAGTGTCACCGTTGCAGTGCTGTAGATTGGCGTCCTACATGTCAAACAATACTGAGAAAAGGAGCAGAAGTGGAAGTCATTTCAGGTTGCAGCCTGATTTCACAAGGTATCTACCTAAGATATGAGGAGCATACCTCGTACGGTTACACTGTTAGCAAGCAAAATGTGCTGTATAAATTAGTAGAAACTCCAGAGCGACTACTATTGGGTTACAAGACTATCAAGCTACAGCAGGGATCAGACACACAACCACCTCTTTTTCCAAAGACTGCTTCATAGATTTTAAAGCCATTATGCCTTCTACAAGTTCCTCTGGTCTGACTCTGTGTAACACGGAACAGCTATATTATCCTTTTGCTCCTGTGCCGATTCAGTAAATAGCATTCAACAAAAACACCACTGCCAAATCTATTGAAAAGTGAAGAGATGACGGTAAATAAATTTCTGAGGGCTAAGACTGCTGCTAATGGCCACGGTCATCCAACTAGTCTATTTCAAGTACATTCTTCCCCAATGCTTAACTGATTGTAGAGAGATTGATACCTTAAGGTTCAGTCAGTCATTTACTCTTTTTCAGAAAACATGATTGAATAAGAAAATTAAAGAGTTAGTGGATGTGAAGGATTAGTGGTTAACCAAGGGCTTCTATTGAAAAGAACCAGTAAAAATGTAATTTTGTCTCAGAAGAAATAAATTAAGAGCCTATTTTGAGCAACACTTCCTTATACAATTATCCATGTTTATAGAGACACAATTAAAATCAATGTTTTGATGCTCTGTGTATTCATGGATACTTCATTGTTCCATCTTTTAAATGATAAAGAACAATCCTCCTTCAATCTCTTCTGGAAACACAGTTTTATAATAAAAATTTTATATCTCTGTTTAATGATTATTAGTAAAGTATCACTAAGGTAACAACTCGTTGTGAGAAGCTGTCTGCATTTCCTGGTAACTTAGTGGAATTACATTTGAGAAATTTGAGGTTTATTTAACCACTCTGTTTTGGACCCTGGTGAAACAAGGTCTCAAATAAGTACATACACCTCCCTCTGTATTTAACATATCTAAGATCTGAGTTTGTGGTTTAAATACTCAGGAAAATATTGTTTGTATGTAAATGTGCATTTCTGAATCAAATCTTTTCATTTGAATAAAGAATTAACAGTCAAACGTTTCTCATTCAGAGGCTGAGTCTCCAGCAAAAATCTCAAAAGAAGATTAAGCTGACTGAGATTAACTTTGAAAATGCCTGGATTTATACATACATGTACATCTTACAGCACATTAGTAAGCATTATTTTTAAAATGTCAAAAATACATTATGTGAAACAAATTAACTGTGTGTGATGGAAGGCAGACTTACAAATTTACAGTTACGTGCTTCTCAAAACACATTCTACGTGCATTTGCTTGGTTTCCTCTTAAATCCTCAACTTCTCATTATTTGTGCTTCTAATGAGTAACTAAAATCAATAGTTTTACATAGTTCATATTTCAAATTCTGTTGCATTACCTGCAAGAACATTATTTTACATCTGAATAACACAGGTCAGCCAGAAGCTTGTATTTATATCTTTTTGCACTTCCATGAGTGTCATCTATGTTAAGGAGAGATGTGCATGTTCGTGTCCTGAAACAGGGATCTCAAAGGACAAATTATCCTCTATACAAAGCTAATGACTTCAGTAATCTGTCACATTTTAAAAAAAAAGTTTCTGTTTGATAACATCATCAGAGGGGTCCAGCTCAAGTGATACGATGGAATTAAGCAAATTGTTTACTTACAATTACATTAAGAGGTTAATCCTTTTTTCTGTTAGTTACACAAATGTCTCTGATATCAGTGTGAAACTGAAGTTTGCAGGATCCAGCATGGGGATGTTATTTATAAAATAAATCCTTCTTTTTCAACATTATCTGCAGATAGAGAGTATACATTTACTATGTACAAAAATAGCATCCCTTGTGTTTTCTAAGAGTGTTAACAACACTTGCAACTTGTTGCAAATGGTGAATCCCACACCTGCGCACAGGCTTGTCAAAGCCTCCATCCACTTCACCCAGCTGCAGGAGCAGGTCCCCTTTGAAGGATTAGAAGCAGGACACACGCAGGCGAGCTCACCTTACCACTTTGCTCTACACAGGATAAATTCAGATAGACTAAAATGATTAATTCACTGCTACTGTGTCTTAGGAATATTTTCAGCCCGACAGAACAGGAGAA